GACATGAGGGCCCTCAGTCTTGTTTGGGCAATTTGAGAGAAAAAGATAGTGTTGGAAAGGTAAGGCTTCACGGTTGCATGCAAGAGAATGAGAGAATGAGATTGTGTGTGATGATGGAATGGTTGAGTGAAGAGAGTGAGATGGGAGGGGTGCTTCTCGGTTAGGGAGAAAGGAGAGTGAATTAGAGGAGATTTTTGTGAGTAAGTGTCTTGGTGTGTGGGTGGCCAACCAAGGTAGTTACCTTGCTAATTTTGGGTTTGGTGTTTATCAAATTTTGCATGTTTTCCATAAGACAATGAGTGATGTGAAGGGAGAGTGATTCAAAAGAGTTGGTTGGCACAAAATTTTAAATGAAATAGTAACCTAGGGCTTTGCAATTTTTGAAAACATCTACACGGTTCCTATCACCCCAAAAGCAAGGAAAAATGTGTTGATTTTGTGTGCAACATAGTAAAAATCATGCACGGTTCCAATGGCACGAGAAGGAATGAAAAAGAAAGAAAGGTGTTCTAAGAAAGTGGCACAAAATAGTTGTTTTAAAACTTTGTAAAAAAATTGAAAGTGTGTACACGGTTTTTTTTTTTTTGCTAGTCAAACTAGGGTAGAACAAACAAATTTGGCAAGAAATAAGTGTGAGATTGTCGGCTACCAAAAATGGAAACCGGCTAAGGTTGGTACAATGTCTCGTACACGAATCGAGGGTCTAAACTTTTAGGTTGCACGAGTTTTGATAGGAAGTAAGTTTGCATGAAATATGATTGGCCGTAATAAATGCGACGAGACTCGGTGCAATTTTTGGAAAAGATAAAATTTATGATGGCAGCTTCTCGAAAAACACCAAAGGAGGTTCAAAATTCAAGGCGTCCTCGAATCGGGAAACGAGGATACTTGCATGAAATGTAATTGGGCAGAACTAGATTTTGGAAGATTCGGGTAATCACGATGTTCTCGCTTTAGGGAACAAAATCGGGTGCATGAATTTTGATTGGTCGGCACTAAATCCGAGGAGGTCTAATGCATTAATTGTGACGGCTAAGTAATGATTAAAGTAAAAAGGTGTAATAATTGCGGCAACTAAGCAATCATTACTAAATCTAGGGAATGATTAATGAATCTCACGTCTTTTTAGGCAAAAAGTGACTTTTCAGAAAGTAAAAAGTAAAGATACTTTTTGGCACAGTTTTCTAGGCACTTTCTCGAAATTCACAACGGAACAAATTTAGGGATTTTTGGACGATGTCGGGATCGAGTATCATGCATGCAGTCATTCTAAAATGCAGGGCTCTCTACGAATTGAGACGATCGATTCGAGTCTAATATCTAACTATCTATTCCGACAGTGGCAGGTCAGAACTGCGAGAAATTCACGACTCTATCAGATAACAGTTAGGCTACGAAAATCGGGGTGTTACACATTATACAATAGTGTTTTTGCATCATCTTTCAGCCTCTCAAACATCTTTGGACAATCTCTAAGATCTTCTTCAACAACATTTAGAATTTGTTCAGCATGATCACTCTTATTTGTTCTAAATGTCTCTGAGTAATTGACACTTGATTTCATGTTAGTTGATGTACTTCCACCTTGTCTCTCACTGTGCTTTGTCCAACAAGCATATTTTTCATCTATCCCATTGCACATTAGATGTTCTTCCAATTCTTCCGCATTTACTTGTAACATATTCAAACAACACCAACAAGGACAAAGAATAAGGTTGACATTAGTTGCATTCTTAATCGCAAATCTAATAAACTCTTTGACTTCGTCTTCGTATTCTTCACTTAAACGATTAGCTAACCATCCAACTTCGATCTATATTTGCTCCAACTATGGTTACGATAATTATAAATGTGAATGTCTTATTAACTCTCACATAGTAGGGCCCTATCCCATTTGGGAACAAACTTTTTCCAACCTTAATTAACAAATGCTACTTAAATGTTGTATTTTTTACTTGACAAAATTTGGGCAGCATTTTGCATTAGTCTCCTAGTACACAACTTGAAATATATGAGATGATTTACCTCAATCAAGCATGCACCAAGAGGCAATGAGAAATGCTTCAAACTCAAATTTTGTTAAGTATTAAATACAACATTATGAGAAGCAAATGCTAACAAATTAATGAATAAGTTTGATCACAAACTGTCCAACTTGGACAATTTGAGATTGAAAATAATGATTTATTAAAAAAAATTCAATTTCAAACGGGAGACTATGGTTTCACTCAATTTTACATTTGAAGTCATAACCTACAAAGTTTAATCACTAACAATAATCATGCATTCATCACATTCTATAATACAACATCAAATTTATTCATACACAGAGGAAATATATATTTTGGGGGCAAAACAAATAAGAATATAAAAATGTTAAAAATCCTAATATCATAGGTTAACAAACATAACATCATGCTCTTTCATTATAACTAACCAGTGTCCTAATATCATGTTCAACAAATCCTAAAAAACCATTCCAACAACATTTCAGAGGTTAACAAACTAAGACTGAACCTGCCCATATCAACTTTTACAAAATAAAAAGTAATTTCATGCTCTTTGTTCACACGGTAACAATGGTCAACATGTTAACAATATTCACTTCATACAAATTATAAACACAGCAGCATGCACTAACCTGGAATTAAGAAAGGAGTGCAAATTTGTCGCAGTTCAGCTAGGACCAGAAATGGAGGAGATGTTGTTATTGTTCAACTTCAAAGACAGAGGTACGTATCAGTGAATAGAGAGAATGAGAGAGTGCGAATGTCCAAACATGGCCACAAAACAAAGAAACGATTATAAATATACCTTCAATTTCCAATTGCGATGTCAGGTGTGCTTGTTCCTCTGCAAAAATTTCTCAAAGAACATTGAACAAAGAGAATTTTAAAGTACAGACTTGGCGGGACGACAGGGATAACCAGATTAGGGTTTTAAAAATAGAACATTTGAGAGCGGTTATTTCATAACCGCTCTCTAATATGGACTTCAGAAAGCGGTTCATTTGGAACCGCTCTCTAATATATACTTCTTAGAGCGGTTATTTAACAACCACTCTCAGAAGTCCATATTAGAGAGCGGTTCCAAATGAACCACTTTCATAAGTTCATATAAGAGAGAGGTTCCAATTGAACCGCTCTCAGAAGTCAATATTAGAGAGCAGTTCCAATTGAACCGCTCTAAGAAGTATATATTAGAAAGCGGTTGAGGCGGAACCACTCTCTTAGTATTTTATACAAGCGGTTATTACTAACCGCTATCTAAGTAGGCGCTCTAAAAGCTAATTTCTGACGTAGTGTATCCTTAATGCAATTCTTGGATTAGCTATTTAATTGAATTAAACCTAGAGGACTTTCATCAATGGAAGTTGAGTTACTTTCTCATATTTGAATTGAATGTCAAGGTTATTGACATCATAGGGGTAAGCATTCATGATCTTATGATATTTTAATTTCTAATGCCTAATATAATGTTTGATTAATTTACACCTAAGAAAATATGATAGTTAATTGAATATTAGAATTATTGAGTCAAAAAATTAACTTTGACTAATATAATTAAATTTATCATCAATCAATTAAGGAACTTAGAGTTCAGATCTACTTCAGTTTTGCAATTGATAAAAAAGTGAAATCATTTCTAACTCTATTTCACATATCAATTCATTTTCAAACTTTTACTCTGTTTTATTATTACTTTCTAATTTTGTACATTTTATTGCTTTAATTTTTAAAAATAATAAAATTAAAAATACATACTAACTATGTATATATTAAAAATTAGAAAAGTAACTAAAGAAATTTTAATAATGTAAAAGTGAATTTAAATATGTTGGTAAAGTTAAAAAGTAATTATGTTAAAATTTAAATTTAAGTTCATGGTTGATGATGAAAATAAAAAATAAAAATATAATTAAAGACAATTAATTAAATATAAAAATATTATAAATTAAAAAGCTAATAAAAAAGAGTTTTAAGAAAAAATATTTAAAAAATTATGAATGATATCTTTAAAAAAATATATATTTAAAATATTAAAATATAAATAATTAATAAGGAGAGATTATATTACACAATTGTAAGTTACACCCATTCTTATTTAATATATATGTATATATATCTGTACATATATAAAATAGAAAAGGTGTTATGCTGTATTATTTTTTAAAAAATAAAATTAATTATTTTAAAAATATTTATATAACGTTCTTAATGTTAATATAAAATATTATCTGTTAAAATTATACATATATATATATATATATAAAAGAAAAATTATACTAATTTTTACACTGTTTAATAATTTTTTATTAAGTAATTTAATTATAAATTAACTGTTAAATTAAAATTTTCAATTACATATATAAAATTTAAGATTAGTTTAAAATAATTTAATATTTTATTTTTATATTTTTAAATTATATAAAAAAGCACCTTGATAATAGTATTAATAAATTTTAATTTTAACAAAATTTAACACCTTTAATTTAAAAAATATATAATTATAAATTTATATTACTTTGTGCGTTAAATTTTGTATTAATATTATTATCCTCCCTTGTGTATATTAATGATATTTCTGTACAATGTAATTGTTCCCTTTCGGCACGGGACTCCGCATAACTCCAACTTCCACCGAGCAGATGCCAGATCTTTCGGCGATGAAATCAATATTCTATTATCAGCAATTCGTTCTCGTCACACAACTTGCTGTTAGCTAGCTAGTTGCTTTGCCTTCCAAAATGAACCCAAACTCTAGCACGTGGCACACCAAATCTCCTACGTGCCCATCACAAGGTGTCGCCATACATGCAGATATAACACAAAACCGGTTTCGTGCTGCACGCTCTCTTCTTTTCTCCCGTGTCCACTATATAATGTCTCTCCCCCAACAAGCTCTAATTCATGCCATATCGTAACATACATATACATATCCTCTGCTATACTACCGGCATTGATTATATATAGAATTAGTAAAACAGTGTAAAAGGGGTGATGGATTCTTTAGGATCATATCGTGGAAGGCAAAGAGGGGACTGGCGTGACTACCCTTGGCCTGCATCTACATTCACTGATTTGTGGGACCCTTACAACAATTGGGACATTGGTCGTCGGGGCGTTGGCAATGATGATATCACCTATGCTCTTGCTCATGCTCACGTTGACTGGCGTGAGACTGATACAGCTCATATCTTCCGTGCTGATCTCCCTGGTTAGCTTTTCTCAACCACTCACACACATTCGTAGACACGCTCTTAAACTTTAGTTTATTTAATGTTTGCAGCTTGTCTCTTTAAAATGAAAAATGCGGCTTAACACTTCAGAAGATTTGTCTAAGATTTTGTGCTTTGCATGTAGATAAATTAGGAATTTAGAATTTCCTTTCAATGGCCATGCATATACACAGGTCAAGCATGTGTGATCTTATATACGTCATTAAATTTAATTATATATATATATATATATATATATATATATATATATATTTGGTGTGGTTTATTTTCAAGTTGCTTTTCCTTTTGAAAGTAAAAGTTTTCTTTTTCTCGGTATTATGTTTCGGAGTTTTTTTAAAAAATTGTGTCTGGTCCTTCCTTTTCTTTTAAAAATAAGTAAAAAATAAATTGGATCAAATTGTATCTCAATATTTGATTTGCCTGCTTTTCTTTTTCTTTTTAATTTACAAAAAAAAAAATGCTTCTTTAGCTCAACTGCTTTAGAAGGTTAATTTGAGCAACATTTTGACTTTGTAGTTTCCATCTGCATTTCGAGAGTAGAATTAAGTTTCGCGTCTTAATTTGAACTTTATTTAATTATCGTCCTTTAGATTGGTCTTAATTTGCGTTCCTTTTCGGAATCTCAGACTGGAAAACCAAATTTTTTTTAACAAATAGCATGTATGATAATTTTAATTATATTTTAAAACACACAAAACACATATAAAAATATCGCATATCGCTTTCAAGGTGTTTAAACATTTTCCAATTCTTAAAAGTTGAAAACGTTCAGAATGAAACACTCCAAATTTTGAAATTCACGCGTATACATATAGTTTGACATGAACTGGGTGATTTAAAAAGAAAAATGAAGGAAAAGGAGACTGCAGCAATAGGTTGTGTGATAGGAGTGTGTGCATTGGTATCTCGGGGGTTCAGATTAGCTTGCTGTATATTATGCAAGCTAAGCGAGTTATGGGAAAACGACGTGAACAGGGGTGAAGAAAGAGGACCTGAAGGTGCAAGTGGAAGACAATAAGATACTGCAGATAAGCGGGGAGAGGGTGAAGGAGAAGGAGGACCAAAACGACAAGTGGCACCGCGTTGAGAGGCAGTGCGGCAGCTTCAAGCGGCGGTTCCGGCTGCCGGAGGACGCGAACTCCGAACAGATTGGGTGCACTCTGGAGAATGGTGTCCTCACGGTGACCGTGCCCAAGATCGAGACCAAGCCAGAGAACAAGAATGTGAGGCTGATCAATGTGGCTTGATATATCACCATCCAGAACTTGTAATGAGTGAGTTTTATGTTATGTGTGTATGTTATGGTAACTACGTGTCTGCAAGATTAATTTGACGAAGGATACCATGGCACTTGTGTAACTAGTATACAATAATCTGTTTGCATTATTACTATGGATCTTGCACGTTATGTATTGCATAATATTATAAAAGTTTTGTCATTTGTCATTGATAATGAGAGGAAATTTTGTTGAGACTAACACAAGTTGAATTTTACTCTTGTTATTTTATAATATTTAAAATAAATAAAAAAAGACTTAGTCAATAGTATATAGCTTATTATTAAAGAATATGTGTCACAGTCTATTAATAAATAATAATTTTTAATCACTATAAAAACTTTTTTTTAATAATCTTTAATATCATAATGAATTAATTTTAAGAATCGTTAAAATAGCCTAAATAAACATTATCAATGCACTAATATTAATATTATTAAAAAAATTATAGTGATTAAACATTATTATTTATAAAAAATCATATAATAATTCTATAATCATTATAAATATTACACATTTATAAAATTTAGATCGTAAAAAATTATTGCAATTTTTTTAATAAATACAATCTATTATAGTTGTTTGGACTAATATAATTTAGGTTTAATTATATTATTTTGTGTTTATTAGACATTCTGTGATAAGATTTTTATAAAATTTTTTATTAAAATTTAATCTTTATAACTTAAGAAATTAGAATTTAATCTTTATTTAACTATTTTATGTTAGTTTAACTAATTTATGTTAGTTGATCAATCCTACGAAGGTTACGTTCTTTATTTTCCTTCCTTTCTCTTCTCTTCTTCATTGTACACTCTTCGTCTCTTCCTTCTTCCTACATCCTTATTCCTCTATCCTTTTTTTAATTTTATTCTTATACTTTCTCTTTTACCTCATTCCTTCTCCTTCTTTTTTACACCACCTCGACTCCCACACCCTCCTCTAACTTTCACTCTTCTCTTAACCCCATTCTTGTATTTTTTCTTCTTCTCTCCTCATTCTCTCCTTTACACTACCTCTCTCTTAGCTCCATTCTTACACCCTCTCCCAACTCTCACCCTTCCCTTTCCTCACATCTCTATCTCTACCGGACCCTCCTCTAAACTCTCGTACATTCACTCCATCTCCATCTCTATACATTCAATCCATTTCATATTAAAATTAAAAATTAAGCAATGAACATTTTATGCTAAATTCACAATAAGCAGATTGTACAATCTTAATTTTAAATTTAGTATTTTTTATTTTTTTTAATGTTGTATTGCTATGAGGTTGAGTTGTAATATTTGTCCACCACGTAAAATTAGGATTTGTGGGTGGGGTAAAGATGAGGTGTAGGAAGGGGAAGGGTGCGGTAGGAGTGAAGGTACGGGGAAGGAAAAGGGACAGGGGTGTGAGGTGTAAGGAAGGGGAGGGGTACAAACTTGAAAAAAGGAAGGGGAAAAGAAAATGAGTCTTTTTTAAATATTGAAAATGTATTTAAAAATTTATTTATAAATAATAAAATATTATATAATTAAATGATATATGAAAGTGTGGAGCTTATTCGCTTAGCACTTAATAAAAAATGGTTGATAACATGAACTAAATTTTAACTTCTTAATTTATAGGAGTAAATTTTAAACAATTTTATAAAGACTTATTATAAAATATTGTAAAAAAATATAATTAAATTTATAATTTATAATTATAAAAATTATTTATAAATTTAAATTTATACAATTATATAAATTTGTAGTCAAATAAAAATAAGATTTAGAATTGTAAATTAATTTTTATATGCATATGTACGAAATCATGGTAGAATAATATAGGATGATGATTATTCACAAATAAATAAACTTGAAGTTAGGGTTTAATTTAAAAATAATTATATATTGAATGACAAATTTTTCGTATAATACAATATTTTTTATAAATTTTAATAGGCAATATCTCTCATCATTATGGTGAATAATAAAATAAATAAGTTATTGACATTATTTAAATGTATATAAATTATGTAGAATATATGTCAAATTAAATATTTTCTACGCTGGCCTAACACGAATTCATTTAAATTTGTGCAATTTTTCCTTTGGTACTTTAATGTTTTTTCTTTGGTGATGGTGCTGTAATGTTTATGTTATTGTATTAATACGTGAAGCATTTAACACATTAAAATATATAAGGATCCAAGTCAAGTATGAAGAAAAAGAGACAGAGAAAAAAAATTAGACAAACATAATTCATGAATTTGAAGTTGCACAAAATTAATTTAAATTTAACTATATGAATTAATTTTTTTATATTAATTTATTTTAATATTTTTAAATTAATTTAAAATTAGTTTAAAAGTTTATATTTGATTTAAAATCAGTTTGAAATTCAGTAAAATATATTATAAATATTTTTATACTATTTTTAAATTATTATATTTATATTTTATAATAATTAATATAATATTGTATATATTTAAATTTATCAATAATATAATTTTTGTATAATTATGTTATATTAAAATAATAAATATTTGAATAGGAAAAAAAATTATATATATTGAATTTTAAATGAATCTATTTTAATTTTTTAAATAATTTTAGAATTTGAATTTAGTTTATAATTAGTTTTAAATTTAATATTTTATGTTAAGTTAGTTTTAAATTTAGTTTTATATTAAATTAGTTTTAAATTTGATTTAAATTTAATTTTTTTTAAAAATTAATTTTCAATATATTTATAAATTGTTTTTAAGATAAAATGTTGTATTACATCATTACATTAAATTAGTATGTTTTAAAAATAATTTAATAATATTAATTAATTTTATTATACTTTATAAAATATTTATTATATTTTTAACTTATTTTTAATAAACAAAGTTGATAATAAAAATTTAAATTTAAATTTATTGTAAAATCCTAAATTTTTACTACTTTAAAAATGTCTATTAAATTATATTAATTTTAATAAATTAGAAATGAGCAGTTTAGAGATTTGAGAATTAAAATAATTTTAGCAAAATTTATCAAAACAATATCAATAAAAAAAATTAGGTAACGTAAGTAGAAATTAAATATTCAAAAAAAAATATTAATGATTTAAATCACCGAAATTAGAATTATAGAAATTATATGAAGTCTACAAAAAAATTAAAAATAGGAAATAAATATAATTATAAAATTTGGCTAAAATGACTAAGATATTCTTAAAAGGACTTAGAATGGTGGCCTATTTTGAATAACCAAATGAATGAAATAAAATATGAAATTTTTATGGTAGTTGCATCATAAGGAGAGCTAGGTGGACATGTCAAATGGGAGGTCAAAAAGCAAGAAGAAAAGTTTTTCAAAATTCTCTCAAAAGAGTCCAAAGTTCACATATAAATGGGTAAGAAAGTAGTTAGAAACTTTGGCAACAAGTCATACAATCAATTTGAAGTCACGTACACCTAATCATACTTAAAAGATAAACTTAGTACAAGTTAATTATGGTCTAATTCCAACTGGACAAGCTTATTCTATAGTGACCCAAATTCACTAAATCACTGATAACTATTTTATAACATGATAGTTCAGAAAACATCAAAATCTGGAATTTTTTTTTTCCTCATACAGTTTACAAGTATAGTTCTCCTTCTCTGAGAGAGTTAACATGCATATGACTTCCCCATTTCAACACTTCATGATTCAATTTCAAAGCAATAATAGAATGAAATCAACACAACTCATCATCAGAAAATACCTCAATCATTATGGAACAAGAGCCTGCAGCCATCACAGAGACCAGTACTGAAGAGGAAAAGACTCTTCGTGAAGCTTGGGAGAGGTCAAACAGGCTAAGCTTGAGCTTGCTGAAGATGACTATGGCTGAAAATGTGAAGCCATCAATGCCAAAGACTGAAAATGCTAGGGAATTTATGGCAAAGGTAAAAGAGTATGCACAGTTAGACATTACTGACAAGTGTGTTTCAGGTATCCTGTTGACTGAGTTGACTACTAAGAAGTTTGATTAGTCACTGTCACTCTCTTAACAGAAGTAATTTTGACTAGCAAGTGTACTAGTGTTATTGTAGCAAGTAATAAAATGTTAGAACTGTGTTTGAGTCCCAAATATCGTCCTCAGGGAATAGAGTTCTCAATTATCACTTCACAAGTCCACAATTAGTTGAGCCTCACGAATTTTAGATGAAGTTTGGAAGTAAAAGTTACAAATATTGAAATTAGAAAACAAAATAGAACAATGAACATGAAAGTATGTGTTTGACAGATGTAGGAAACATAGTTAGGGACTTGTTTCACAAAAACTTCAGTGTTGATTAAATAAAGTTCTAAACTTTCAAGTATTTAGATGGAATGACAATTAGTTTCACGTTACGTTAATCAAAGGTTAATTCCTTAACTCAATAAATCTAACATTCAACTAAATCACTCTAATTCCTTAGATCTAGTTCAATTAAATGTTGCATTAAGCATTAGAAACCAGAAGATTGCAAGATCAAGATATCTTATCCCTAAGAAATCAATAACCTTGGTAATTTATTCAAGTTTGAGAAACAAATTCAACTTCCATTGATAAAAATTCCTCTACAATTAGTTAATCAAATTTCCATTCAATAACTACATGAACAACAGAATCAATTACTCGGTCCAATCCAATACTAAAAGTTTATATCTAAAATCGATTCAACACTTCCAATTCAGATCCACAATCCTCAACTATGATGAAATTAAGCAGCCATTACAAAATGAGAAGAGAAAGAAAGAGAAGAAGAAGATGAACGAAGAAACATCTTCAAGCCAATCTTCAATCCGATTCCTCAAGATTTGAGGCTTGGTGTTTGTCCCCAATCACTCTCTCAGACACTCTCACCAAAAAACAAGTGGAAAATAAAAATGAACAAAAGATCTCAAGATATCTGATTCATATTTATAGAATTCCCGCCTTTCTGGCGTGATCACTTTTTTTCACTAAAGTAACCACGCAGAGGC